GAGGGAGGCCGGGGAGGGAGGCCATGGGTGCCCTCTGCCCTCCAGTGGTCACTGTGGGGGGGAACCAAGCCATGCCAGCTAGTGATGGGCAGCAGAGCCAGCGGTGCCTGCCGGCCCCCGCTCCCCTCCAGGCACAAAGACAAAGCGCACGGGCGGGGAGCTGCGGCCGTGGACACTGGTGGGGGTGATGGTCGCTCTCCTCTTCTCAGTCCTGGTGGCCGGAGCCCTGGCTAGGAGAGTTTACACACGCTTGAGCAGGTGAGCCGCAGCTGGCGGTACAGGTGGGACTGTGGGACTGCACTGTGGAGCTTGGGGTCTGGCCTGCTCCACCCCAGGGCCCCGCGGGGCCCGCTCTCCACTGGCTTGGGAGCAGCCTGGCAGCGGCCACTGAATCCAGCAGCCCAGCAAACCCCAGACACCACCGCGGGGGGGGGGGGTCCTGTGGTCCTTGTCCTCAGTGGCCCTTTGTCCCCAGGACACCCGGCATGGCCTGGCCTGGGCAGGTCTGGGGGCGGGCAGGGGACAGACCCCACGGTTTCTGGCCTGGACGCCCCACTGCTGCCGGGCTCATGCGGCCAGAGCCACCAGGCCCGGGGTGTCCACCAAGTTTGGGCCTGAGCCAGGGCCTCCTCCGCCTCCCGCCAACATGAGGAGGACTCGGCCTCCACGCTGGGAGCTGAACAGTGACTGCAGTGACTGTGCGGGATGGGAGGGGGGGTGGGCTCAAACCCCTGGAGTCCAGGCGGAGGCCCGGGAGGGACCAGATCCCCGTGAGGGAGCAGGCCCGGGAGGGAGCAGATCCCAGGAGGGAGCAGGCCAGGGAGGGAGCAGGCCCAGGAGGGAGCAGATCCCAGGAGGGAGCAGGCCAGGGAGGGAGCAGGCCCGGGAGGGAGCAGGCCAGGGAGGGAGCAGATCCCGGGAGGGAGCAGATCCCGGGAGGGAGCAGGCTAGGGAGGGAGCAGGCCCGGGAGGGAGCAGATCCCGGGGGGGGAGCAGGCCCGGGAGGGAGCAGATCCCGGGAGGGAGCAGGCCAGGGAGGGAGCAGATCCCAGGAGGGAGCAGGCCAGGGAGGGAGCAGGCCAGGGAGGGAGCAGATCCCAGGAGGGAGCAGATCCCAGGAGGGAGCAGGCCAGGGAGGGAGCAGGCCCGGGAGGGAGCAGATCCCAGGAGGGAGCAGGCCAGGGAGGGAGCAGGCCCGGGAGGGAGCAGATCCCAGGAGGGAGCAGGCCCGGGAGGGAGCAGATCCCGGGAGGGAGCAGATCCCAGGAGGGAGCAGATCCCGGGAGGGAGCAGATCCCGGGAGGGACCAGATCCCCGGGAGGGAGCAGGCCCGGGAGGAGGCGGGGTCTGGGCAGCCCTTCAGAGCCTGCTGGGCATCCGGTCCAGATGCCCATGGAGCCCTGCCCCCTTCCTGCTGTGCACAGGAGACTCTGCGCCTAGAGCCCGAGGCGGTGCTGGGTCCCGGTGCCAGCGAGCTCAAGCATGGCAGCCCAGGGAAGAGGGGCCTGGAAGCAGCCGCACCCAGGAAGGAGAAGGACCCACGCTGGTCCCGGCCACCTCCCTGCCCCTCTGCACACACAGGGAATCCCAGAGGCTGCATCCGGGCCGCCCGGTCCTGCCCCCCACCGGCTGCTCTCCCTCTGCCCACCCCTCAGCCCCGGGGTTTCTGGCCACGCGGGGGGCGGGGGGAGGCCTCCAGGGGGTCTGGTGCCCCTGTCTTCTATCAGAAAGCACAAGCAGGACATGCGGACCCTGTGTCATGTGTCTGTTCCCATTTCTATGAGGATTAACCACCTTCCTGTGAGCCAATGTGAACATGTTCCATGTGCCAAACCAGATCACACACACATCCTTCACTGTGTCCACCACACACACCCCTCCCTGTGCACACACACACCCTTCCCTGTGCACACACACCCCTCCCTGTGCACACACACACCCTTCCCTGTGCACACACACACCCCTCCCTTTGTACACACACACCCTTCCCTTCATCACAGGAGCGGAGGGAGGGAAGGGAACAGAGGGAAGGAGGGAATGGAGGGAGGGAGGGAGGTGGTGTGCGGCGATGGCAGGTGCACTGGCAGCTGCAGGAGCTCGGTGGCTGAGGCCGGCAGAGGGGGGCAGTGCGGGCAGAGGTCCCCAGGAGAGCACAAAGCAGGCTTGAAGGGACGGGAGGGGGCGGGGTGGTCACTGC